GCCTGTTTCTTAATCTGCTGAGGGGTATTTTGATATTCATTGTTCTGGTTTGTTGGCAGTTAAATATTAAGTGTATAAAACCAATCAGACCATCAATAAATCAAAATCAGTGCCTAGAGTGATGACAATACAGAATATCTTCTCTAGTGCATCACTTAATTCCATTTTATGCGTGCAGAAAATACTGAATTTTGAGTTGTCAAGTAACATGTCCAGGTAACACACTTGATTGGTGGCAGTGAGGTAGGCACTCAGGTGTTCTTTTCACTAGATTGTGCAGGAGAAGAACATCTAGATGGAAAATACCTTTCTTTGAACCCAGTGACTCTGAGCAAATGAACGCCTTATGTAAGAAGTCAACTCTGAACCTCATCAAAAAATGACACAACAAACTATAGCTCTTGATCAAAATAATCCTTTGACAAGACATGGCGATGCTACGAGAGCACAGGCTGTAGAGAGACATGAAGACTTGAATTCAAATGTCACCTCCACTCTAAGTCTTCTCTTCTATGAATTGCAAATAGTAACCTCCTCGTTAAGATTTAATGGGCTGTTCAGTAGGATGCAGGGGACCATCACAGGGCTTGCCACACAGACTCTACTTGACAGATAACTCATGTCTTAACCTCACTCCCTTCCTTAAGTCTCCAGGGAAAGTTCACTGTCAACCTTTTCAAGTAGAGGTTACATTTCCACTATGAAAAGCATTCTCTCTCTCTCTCTCTCTTATTTTGGGTTGGATTTTGTTGGGTGGCAGTTACCGGTTGTGCCAACCAGTTTCTGATGCACAACAAACCATCCAAAATGTAGTGACTTTGAACAACCAATTCTTTTGTTCACGATTCTACAGGTCAATAATTTCAGCTGGGCTCAGCTGAGAGGTCCTTTTGCTCTTCTTGGAAGGCTTGCTTATGCGTCTGTGGTCAGTGCCCCTGGCTCTGCTGGGGGCTGGATGGTGTATGATGGTCTCACCCACATTTCTGGCGACTGGTTCACTGTCACCTGTGGTGGAGGGGATGCATGGGCCCTGGGTCTCTCAGCATCCACTTAACCCACGCTACTTCACGTGGTTGCTGTCTTGTGTCAAGAGCACCAAAAGAGGGCAAACCCTGGTGTGCAAGCACTTTTCAATTCTCTCCTTGCTTCACTCTTGCTACTGGTCCACTGGACAAAGCAAATTCCATCTCCAAGGCCAAGGGAAATGTGGGAGGAGATACAGGCAGACATGTACAAAATACATTTGTTACTGTAACAGTCTACTGTTAAGGTAGCTTGTGAAATAACCCTGTTCATCATTAGAGAAATCTTAACTATGGGTGAACTAGACAGTGGAATGCTACCCTCTCAAAAATGATGTTGACATTTCTATACAAAAAGTCATACCTATCTTGCCTCATGATCAGTCTAATAGGTGAATCATAAAACTATTTTACAAAATTCTGCTAAAAAAGATCAGTTCGAGATTTTCCCAGCATTGTACCATACCTGTAAATTGCGGATCCCCTTATCCAGAAATGTGCTATGACTTTGCCAGTAGGAATCCAGCCTGCACCTCTTTCCATATCATAATGTTGCTATTCCTCTCCCTTCCAAAAAAACAATATGCCCCAACAGACACCTATTGCATAGGCATCCTCTGATGGGGAAGTGATAGACGAGACTAGGAAGCGGCCCCTCTGGTAAGACAAGGAGAAAATACATGCTAACTCTAGTCTTGTGATGTGGTTGGGGCCTGGATGGGCCACCACTCCCCATAGCCCCTTGCCGCACCTCCCAGCTTTGCTAGAGTTCCTCTTGATTCATTCAAGCCATCTTTCAAAGCTGAGTCCGAGCTCTATCATTTTCTACTACAATGTCCTAACTTTATTGCTCAGGATCCCTTGGTATTTTATTTACTGTGTGGTGGCTGATATGGCTACCGCGAAGGCCATCATTTCCCTACCATATTTTCTATGTGATTACTGCTGGCATACATGAAACCATTAGTGCTTTAAATAGTAATACTTCATTCTACCATGGAAGGGAATTCATTTTTACTCATTTCGTAGGCTTTTCCCAAGAAGATATTCCTATCATTTGGAAATAATGAAAATTTGGTCTTCTTTACTAAAACAACGCTTTTTTTCTCTTTATGATCTCCTTACACTGGAAAGATCACCTAAAGCAAAAGTTAACAATATTGGTGATAATAGGTATATTTGCCTAGACCTTGACTATAATGGAATTTTTTTCTAGTTGCTTAACATCATTCGTGTATTTGTACATTAGGCACACTGAGGACTACAGCCTGCTAAAACCTATGTTCCTAGTTTGTTTTTAATCACGGGGTGTCACATTCCTTCAAATGTTCTTTGATCGGCGCCTGGGTGGCTCAGTGGGTTGAGCCTCTGCCTTCAGCTCAGGTCATGATCCCAGCGTCCTGGGATCGAGCCCCACATCAGCTCTCTGCTCAGCAGGGAGTCTGCTTCCCCCTCTCTCTGCCTGCCTCTCTGTCTACTTGGGATCTCTCTTTCTCTCTCTCTCTCTCTCTCTCAAATGATTAAATAAAATCTTTGAAAAAAAATGAACCACTTATAAGAGAAAGGAAACAAATGTTCTTTGATCATCCATATACCATTAAAATATGGTCAATACTAGTATCTCTAGTGGTTGAAGTCATTCTCTTTACATCTCCATTTTGTCATTTCTTCATATGGAACCCACACATTTTTGTCCTATTATGCTCTAGATATTGCAGGAGTCTGTTGCCACTGGGAACAGGATCATTTTTATGAGCTATTCTGGGTATAAATGGAGTGTAGCAGACCTTGGGAAGCTGATCTCACTTGTTATTTAAGAATTGGGCTGTTGGGGCGCCTGGGTGCCTCTAGTCCGTTAAGCATCCCACCCTTGATTTTGGCTCAGGTCATGATCTCAAGGTCCCATGGGGCTCTGCACTGGGCATGGAACCTGCTTAAGATTCTCTCTCTCCCTCTCCCTCTGCCCCTCCCCTTCCCACTGATGCGCCCTCCCTCATCCTCCCTCCCTCCTTCTCCCCTCTTCAAAAAAAAAAGTCCTTTGCACTCACATTTCAGATTCCCCTTCCCTTTGATGAGGGATTATTTCACTGGAAAAGGGAGTTTTCGTGATCCTGGTTGCTTGATGCCAGCAGAGGGTCTGTGGGTAAGAGAGAGACAAAGATGCTTAAGCTGCAGTATGGCAAAAGTTAGGGGACATCAGACGTCTTCTCCATAAGGCTACAGTTAGAGCAGGGAAACAGTAAGAACAAATGAAAAGGTGAGGGAAGGCTTTTGGTTGTTAAATTTTTGGTTATGATGGTCCACATCTTGGCCAAGAGGACAGCATGACCCAACAGAGAGGTGGTGAAAGAGCACCAAGCGGCCTTGCTTGGTGTGGAATCCCACACCAAGAGCCTCCATAAACATCAAACTGAAAAACATGAAGGGATTTCTGTAGGCATGTTTTCCAAAACCCGAAGCAGTACCTATCAGTGAGAAAGAGAGAGAAGGGTGAAAGTGAAAGAGGGTGAAGAGTGTTGGGACTTCCTAAAAGGTGACTTGGGGTGGTTCTGCAGCTGTTAGGTGACTAGGACTCCAAGGGCCAGGGCTGAAACAAGTAGGCAAGAAGTTTACTGTCAGGAAACTGAGGAACAGAGGTTAGGTAAGAGGGCAATAGGACCTGTTCAAGAAAAGTGTTAAGTTATGGGCTGTACCAACATGCCCAGCAAGGCCAAGAACCTGCCACCCTGAATCAAGGAAACCTCATTTAAAATGGAGTCAGGTGACTAGCAGGGGGAACCTCTCACGCCCTACCACTGCGGTCAGCGGCAGACCCCAACAAGGACAAACAGTTTCTGGCATTCCCAGCAAGAAGCAGCTTCCTTTCCTACTCCAGCAGGAGGAAGGACGAATTTCTCCTCGCCCAGCAACAAGCCCAGCCAATAGGAAATACCACAACGGGGCCAATGAGGAAAACGTCAGCACCTGCAACTTCGGCTTTTCTGCAATGGACTTTCCCTTCCCGGCAGTCCCTCCCTACTGCCTCCTTTTCCCTAGGGAAGAAGGGTCCTCGTGTCTGAGCTCCAGACGGGCCTCTGAGGTGCCATAGTTTGCCTGTCCCCAATTGCAATTCCTCTGCTACACCCAAATAAACCCATTTTGCTGATAAACCATAACCGGCTGTTCTACCTTTCAGGTGGACAAACCTGTTGAAGAACCCAAAGGGTATGGATATGACTCAGCAAAGAATAGGTACTGTTTTGCCAAGAACAGCGAGGGTCTTTTTGACAACCCCAGGCCCTCCTAAACCGTAAGGTGGTAGCATTCCTTCTGGGCAATGATGATGCCCTTGGCCTGATGGCCTGTAAAATAAGTGTATGCGTTTCATGCAACCTGCCGGGAAGGATGAGGAGAAAGGTCTGGCCACGCCACAGCCAACTTCAACTCAAAGGCCCACGTGGAAGCGATCTTGGCCCGGGTCACAACGCGGGAATTGAACTGCCAGGGGAAAGAGATTTCCAGCCTGGGAGGTGCGGGGCGCCTGCGCAGTGGGCCCGAGGCGCCGCGCGCGCGGCGGGAGCCACAAGACCCCCGCCCCCGCCCCTCGCCCTCCAACATGAACGCGCACGTGAATGGGGACGCGGACGCGCACGCGAATGCGCCTCACCTCGCTCAACCCCTGCCGGGCGGCTGAGAAGGGAGGGAGGCGCGCGCGGGAGCCTCGGGTCGGCGGTGTGCTGAGCGGCGGACCCGCTGGCGGCGGCGCGGGGGCGGGGGCGGCGGCGCGGGGGCGGGGGCGGCGGCGCCTGGTCCAGTCAGGAGGCTGCATTCGGGACCCTCCGGCCCGCAGGAGGAACGAGGAACGAACAGACTGACGTACTTCGCCCGCCCCCGCCTCATCTCCCCCGGGGCTTCCTGGGCTCCCCCGGCTCACTCCTGGAGCGCCTTCTCTCCCCACCGCTCTTCTCGGCCGTTTCTCTCCCAGGCATCTCAGGCGGCGGCGGCCGAGACCCCAGCAGCAGCAGTGAGCGGCAGGAACGGGCGGCCGAGAGGATGAAGTGCAAGCCGAACCAGACGCGCACCTACGACCCGGAGGGGTTCAAGAAGCGGGCGGCGTGCCTTTGCTTCCGGAGCGAGCTCGAGGACGAGGTGCTGTTAGTGAGTAGCAGTCGGTACCCGGACCGCTGGATCGTGCCGGGCGGGGGCATGGAGCCCGAGGAGGAGCCGGGCGGTGCGGCAGTCCGAGAGGTGTACGAAGAGGCGGGCGTCAAGGGGAAGTTAGGCCGGCTCCTGGGCATTTTCGAACAGAACCAAGACCGCAAGCACAGAACGTACGTGTACGTACTGACTGTCACTGAGATTCTGGAGGATTGGGAAGATTCGGTTAGCATTGGGAGGAAGCGAGAGTGGTTCAAAATCGAAGATGCGATCAAGGTTCTCCAGTGCCACAAGCCCGTGCATGCCGAGTATCTGGAAAAACTAAAGCTGGGCGGTTCCCCGACCAATGGAAACTCCGTGGCCCGGTCCCTGGCACAGAGCGATCCTTAGTATGTACCGCTCCTGCACAGACTTCTGCTTTCCGCCTACCTTAGAATAAATAGTGCCCGGAGCGCCTCTCATTCCTTGTGCGGTCTCACGGGGAGGTGGGGGGCTTCTTTTGTTTCCTTGGCAGCCCTCCGAATCACGCTTGCAAACCGTCTCGGTTGCCAGGCACTGTTTTCAGACAATTTGCACGTTTTTCAGAAGCTTTGAAAATCGCTGCTTGGTAGCACTGTAACAGATTTCGGTAATCCTAAAGACGTGGGTTTTTTGTTTTGTTTTGTTTTGTTTTTAGAGTGCTTTAACTGCTTGCCCATCTTTCCTAAACCACGTGGGTGTTTTGTTTTGTTTTGTTTTTAGAGTGCCTTAACTGCTTGCCCATCTTTTAGCGTGTGTTTTTGTGTAGGTGGGTACACTTTGTATTTTTTTTATTACATTACACACACACACGTCTGTGTGTGTACGTGTGCGTTTTTGGTACTAATCTTGTGGTTTGTTTTATAGTGAATGCCTTTAAAATCTGAACATCTTGATTGTGTGGCGTCTTTAATTTTTTTTTCCTTAACTTGCTTTCTCTTTCATTGCATTAGCCCTTGCTAGCAAGCTCTTCAGTGATGGAAATTGGTTTAAAGATAGTTTATATATATATATATATATATTTAAAAAATATTTAAGATATTTTACATCTTGTGGTTTTTCCGCACTCGGCAATAATTTTGTGTTCAGTAGTGTAATCTAATTTGCCGTTTTCAGAAGTTTCTTTACTCGTATGTACACGATTGGAATTTCAAAAAATTTTCACTAGTGGTATTTTGTTTCTCTTTATTTGAAATGGCCATTTCCATATAGCCCGAAGGTAATTAAACAAAGTATTACTTTATACAGTGAATATATTCTTGGGTAAGTATTGTTAGCTGGACACATCCTGCTATGTACTACTATCATGAAAACTATTCATAGAGTGTGATTTAGTATGTTCAACTTCCAACTCCATAGCCCCTTCCTTAATACCCTAAAACAACCATGGTTCTCTGAATATAAAGTAGTTCTTGAAGGAACATTAAATTTTACATATTTGAATGTAGTGACATTTCAGTTAATCTTCCTGACTACCAGTGACTATAGGAATGGAATTTGTATGGTGATGAGATCCCAACCCAGTGTGGTACCTTTCTTGATATTCAGCTTTTACAGACTTCTTAAACTGCCAGGACGAGTGAACTGTCTTAAAGAGTTAGGAAAACTGTTTTGTGTCATGGGACAAATTTTTTTTTTTATTAAAAGCTTTTGCATTTGCATCAACGCTTGTTTAAAATCAGGAATCTTTTCTAAAATGCATAGCTCTGCCTTCTCATACTACATTTATTCCCCTAGCCATGTCAGCAGTTAAGTAGAAGAAAAACCTACTTTGTTAAGAGCCTATTAGGGGTGGAAAGTTAATGCCATATGTAACACCTAAACATTTTTAAAACATTGCAGTTGCAATTAATGAATATAAAGTAGAAAATCATGGTTATTTAAAAACATTTGTTATTCAAACTAACCTGTTTTTAAACACAATTACTGCTAAAAATTTAAGTTACCTTTTCTTAAACTTTATTATTTTACTTTTTTTTAACATACAGAGGAATGCACAAATATTAACTGTACAGCTTAATCAATTTTTACATACAGAATATATGTATGTAACCAGAATCCAGATCAGGAAATTAACATTACCTATAACTCAAAAGCCATTGCATTTCTCTTCCTAATCAGTACTCTGCCTTTTTATCTTTTAAGACTATTGAATAATTCTGTTTTTGAACTTTATAGGTTGACTTTTAGAATGTATACATTTTTGGGCTGCCCTGCCCCCTTGTGTTCTTTATTTCACTCTTCAAAATACTCAAATATTTTTCTCCGTTTGAGTTTGCATTGTTATTCTACAAATCATTAATACATTTATATGATTGCTGTTAAAAAGTGGGTTTTGTTGAATTTTCTAAAGAAATTTGGTGCCACTATTTTGGAAACAAACTTTGTTACAAACTTAAGCACTGATAAAGTACAGGTTTCAATTCACAAAACATTTTCTGTAATAATGCTATCAAAGTAAACTAAAAAATGAGTGGGTTTTTAAAACCAGTGACAACTTTATCATCTGAATTACATAGTTTGATCAAATATGGTTATTTAATATTTTTCTATTTTCTCTTAAGAAGTGATCTGTATTGAATATCTGTTTGAGCACATTTAATTTCAGTCTCACATCGACCCAAAGATATCTTTCCCCAATAACCTAGTTATTTTAGAAGATTCTTAAATTCTGCCTTAACAGAGCAGATATATTGGGGTTTTATTTTAAAGATATGTTTTGTTGATAGATATCCCTTCCACCTGAAATGCTGCCACAAATATTTTGGAGACTTCTGCTTGTTATTCTTGGAGGTGATACTACATCATTTTATTTGGTTCTTAAGTATCTAACAAAGGCAAAGATGAACAGTATTCATATTAACCTATTATTAAGAATGATTAGCCTATAAATATGTTGTGGGCTTTTTTCCTTCTTTTTTTGGACAGAAACATTTAGAATAAGTCATGATATTTTTCAGGACTATCAGGTTCATTTAAGTAGTTTTTGTGAAATATTCTGTATAGCTTAGCCTTGTCAGAATAGTTAAAATTTCCAAGGAGATTCTTTTTTTCTCTTTAAGACCAAGAGTTTCAGGCCAAAACAGGTAACCAGAAATAGTATATAGAAAATTTCTATCACCTCAGCACTCCAAATATCGATGCACAGTTGCGATTTTTTTCCTTCTAAGATTGTTAAAAAGGCAACTGTACGTTATTTGTTTGGTTTTTCAGCTCTCCCTTCGATAAAAAAGGACAATGAGTGCTCTCCACAGATAATTAAGGTTTGCAGACATGCATCAGAAATTTATTTTCTGCATGTTTTATAAACAGCTTACATTTTCAGCCGGTCAAATAGTTTATTCTTATTAAGATATAAAGAGAAAACATTGGGGGTTAATATAGATACATAGGTAAACTCTAAATAATTGATGCTGTGTCTATAAAGTATATTTTTTTCAAGAAATGATGTGTGTATACACATGCACACACACACACACACGGTGTTTTTGGCTGAGCAAGGGTTTTTACTTCCAGTTGTCCCATGTGGGAGAGCTACCAGGCACTACCAGGGTTTTATCAATATTTTATTGGTAGTTGTCTCCTGATAAACTATTATACTGTATTTAGTAGATTTTAAATGTTCATGGACAAACAGCACTATGAGAACTGGAAAAGTCACTATGATAACAGAAGTAAAACATGACATTTTTATGAGACAGAGTTTGGTGTGATAGAAACTACAGTTGGGGTTTTGAAGTCAGACAGACTTAGGTTGAAAACTGGCTCCAGTTCTTGCTCACACTAACTTCAGCCAGGTTATCTAACTTCAGATAGTTAGATTTTTTTAAATATGAAATTTGAGATAATAAAAATAGATACTTTATAATCTCCAATGAGAAGTCTTCTCTGACCACTGGGTTAAGATACTTTCTTCTGCGTGTGTCACAGTTCTCACAATTTACTGTATTATTTGCATGGTTGTGTGGCTAGACCACAGACTCTGTGATGGGTGGGACTGTCTTGAATTATTTCCATAAGCCTAGACTCCAGAAGGTGTAATTTAGAATTTTTTATGTCTTACATGACCAGCCTATCCTTTTTTGCAAAACTTATAGTATCACTGCTTTCCTGACTCTTTTGTTTTCTAATATAACCTGTAACTCCCTTAGCTGCTGATCCGGTCTTAAATTGCATCTGCATTAGATAATTCCATGAAGGCTTTCCAAACACAAAGTGAATGATGCAGATAATAGGCCTTTTGTAAATTTGTCAGTTGGAGGAATTGTTAAATTAGTATATAAGCCTGCTAATTATATGTTTGTTTGTTTTTCCAGATGAACAGCAAAGATTTTCAAGATTGCTGTAAAAGAGTCTTTGATATGAATCATTGATCAATGGAATTTTCAAGTGGAGGTGAGCAATTCCATGTTTCCAAGGAGACAGCTCACCTGACTTTCCTTCTACATCTTGGGACATTCCTTACCTGTCTATTCCACTGACTTCTCTTGCCCTGGTTGTTACTGTTGTACGTGAACAGACTCTTACTTTAACACCTGTAGCCTTTTGTTATGCTTTTTTGATGTGTCTGCCTTGGCCATTAGACTGTGATATCCTTGAGAGCAAGGACCATGTTTCTTTACTCTTTGCATATTCTGTATATGAAACACCACTGGAAATATGATTGACATCCCTGAAGGTTCTTTGATTCGATTTATATTTTGTAATCACCATGTGGCAAAACATTCCCATTTCAATCTGGTGCTAGTAGAATATATGCTGTCTAGGCACCATGTATGTGGCTTTTCTGTATCAGGTGTTTCAGAAACTTTTGAAGGCAGTTGTAAGATGTTCAAGATGAGAATTATTACTCATATTTCTATATCATACCACACAGTGGCTAACACCATTTTGAGATTACCCCAATACATAGGGCAATATTTTGTAGAATCAGTCTTTTGTGAAACAACTTCAGTATTTTTGTACTGCTGTTACTTTGCTGAAATTTTATTCAAAAATATCACTTGTTATAAAACTAACTATAAAATAAATACAATGAACACAAGATAATATTGTGGATTTTTATAAAAATAAATTTTAAGATGATTTACAAATGATATATTTAATGCTTTTGCAATGCCCAAAGCACTTCTTTCATGTAATCTTAACTTCCCTTTGAAGAAGATTGTTTTTCTCATTTTATAAGTTCAGTGTACTGTATTATTTGATGCCAGAGCCAACAAAAACTGCAGTACAGGCAGTTTCCAAAGTTAATTACACCAGTTACTTTGCCTAGGTTTCTTTTGCATCTCTTACTGATTCAGTTTGCCAATTTTCAACCCCTTTTCCAACACACTCAGCTGACTTCTCATTCCACCTATTTTTTGCATGTGAGAATGTGAAGGACTGAGAGACAGCTAAATTGTCACTTAGAAAAGGCGCTGAAAAAAAAAAAAACTTCTGTGAGTGGGGAAGAGACGACTTGGGTCAGCTGTCTCCAGGAGAACAACTTTAAGAAAATGACAAAGAGGGGCGCCTGGGTGGCTCAGTGGGTTGAGCCGCTGCCTTCGGCTCAGGTCATGATCTCGAGGTCCTGGGATCGAGTCCCGCATCGGGCTCTCTGCTCAGCAGGGAGCCTGCTTCCCTCTCTCTCTCTCTCTCTCTCTCTCTGCCTGCCTGTCTGTCTACTTGTGATCTCTCTCTGTCAAATCAATAAATAAAATATTAAAAAAAAAAGAAAATGACAAAGATGTTTAGAGATAATTTTATGGAGTCTTGCCATGGGGTTTGTAATGTCAGCACTCTTACCCAGCTTCCCACAAAGGTCTCAGAGGGGCTTTAATACAGTAGTTTTGTTTCCTTTGCATTTATAAAAGCAATTGCATCAGAAAAACCATGAGTTCCATTTTAGGTGTTACCCCCTTCCTCATGGTACCAGTGAAATATAGTAACTGTTGTATCAATCCTTACATAATTTGAAATAACACATCTCCCACTTTATTGGGTTTTTTAAGATGTGATATGGTACTGTGGTTATGTTTTTCTAAATCCTTCTAGAGAAATGTACTGTTAATTTTACAGATGAAGTGATATGCTACTGGTATTTGCTTCAAAATAATCTGAGGGTGGGGTAGGTGAGCATACAGATGAAATAAGATTGGTGATAAACTGATAATTTCTGAAACCATGTGACAGATACTTGGGAGTTCATTATACTGTTCTCTATACTTTTGAATATATTTGAAATTTTCCGTAATAAAAATTGAAAAATAATTCATTGTTTATTTGTAGGCCCTTGCTATCCCTAAAACGTAAGTAGGGAAGGCTGATTAGAAGACAGATCTAGACAGACACACACACCTCTCCTCTCCAAAAACCCAGGTTTTGTTCCTGAGCTAAACATATTAGCAGACTTGCTCTTCCCTTAATGTGAATTATTTCCTTGAAAGTCTGTCAATTTCACATGCAAAAAGACTTTTAGCCTCATTAGCATGCCAAATGTGATCAGCAAACTTTGAACCCCAATGGTGGACATAAGCTTAGGTTCCAGATGAGACAGCACTCCCATTCTACAATGTAACTTTAAAAAACTTAATTTTTTTCCTGATTAGAAAATTAATTTACCTTAATTTCAGAAAATTTGGAAAATTCCCTCCAAGGTAAATGAATAAAAAAATCACACATGATCCCCCTACTCGGAATAGCCATATTTGAAAAATATGTATGTATATCTATATATATTCCAGCGTTTTTCTTTTCAAATGTAACTATATGTTACCCAAGCAGATGGCACAAGTGAGCCCCTTCCACCAGAATATTTTAAAAAATCCAGGATCCCTTTTATTACAAGGCATACACCACATAGGTAACTTGTTCTTCAGAATTTTTTAGGCTAATGATCAGGGCATTATGGAATTTTTGCCACTTTTGTGCTGCACAAGTGCAGCAGACATAGCACAAAGCTTGAGTCTGAAATCTAGGCCATGTCTTGTACTCACTAATTCCTGATGCAGGACAGAATAACCCTTTTTGGTTTTTGGTTTTTTGTTTCCTAATTCCATCACAAATATTCTACTCAAGAAGTTGGTGGGAGTGGGGGGCATCAATTCAGAGGAGGTGCCCCTTTAATAAATCACACAGTTACAATATATTAGCTAAAAGTAGGCCTGCTAGTATCTTGTTTTTCAGAAAGTTCCTTCTGTCTTCTCTGGATCCTCAGCAAGCTACCGTATCACTATCTCTCTAGTGTCTGCTCGTCATTAAGTTGTTGCTCCTCTGGGCACAGTGGTTTTCAACTGGTAAACAAGGATACCACTACTCTGCACTTGGAATGGAATCCTGTCCTCCTTCTTCTACCTTTTTACTCTAGAATGTGCCCTCATGATTCCCTAATTTCCTACAACACACAAGAGATCAGAATATAACTTTTAATAAGATTTTACTGAAGATTACCAGGTTATGTGAGGCAAATACAAAATACACAATACAAAACTATTTCACAGGTCATATATTTTCTAGGTTCCAATGCTAGACTGGTTCCCTAGCACAGGCTGACTCCAAATGGCCTAGGGACATCCTTCCATTCCCTATTCTCCACCACTACTAACAGCTGAGAGTACAGTTTCAAGTCTTGTACAAAGTGATTCCCATACCCATGCAGAAGAGAAAGCTTTTCCTGCAACTCAATCTCCAAACAGTACTTAAGGTATCTCAAATTTATAGTCTCAGAATCAGAGATGTGAGCCTGAAATTAATGGATCTAAGGTCTAGAATGTGAAGTGTTGGGGATGGAAACTCAGTTTTATATTATTCCAAAGCTCATGCTCTATATTAAGATGAACAGGACTGACAATACAGTGAATTTGGTGCTCCACATTTTTCTGGGTGGTAAATATGGGGAACCAAAAAGCCCACCCATAGTACAAGAAGACTTAACACCTTTCCCTGTGTAAGCCTACACAGCAGTGTGAAGAAGCAGGCCAGGACCTCTGTAAGTTTAGATTTATTTGGGGCCAGTGCAGAGGGTATAGAGGGCTTAGGACAGGATTCATAACAATTCTCTTTTCCTTTTGTCTACCCACTCAAACTTAGACCTTGTTGGCTATTAAAAAGACATAAATAGACTGCAGAATCATTCTTAGTACATGTATCCTTCATCTTTTTCAAAAGTTCAGATTAGGTCACTTCTCTTCATTGGTACAGTAGTCCTCCCATTACCCATGGTTTTGCTTTCTAAAGTTTTACTTACCCACAGTCAACCATGTTCCAGGAATAGATGACCGTTTTGACCTATTGTCAGGTCAATAGTAGCCTAATGCTATATCACAATGCCTGCATAAGTCACCTGACTTTATCTCTTCATGTAGGCATTTTATCATTCCACATCATCACAAGAAGTGTGAGTACAGTACAATAAGATATTTTGATGGACCACATTCACATGTTATTATAGTATATTGTTATAATTCTTATATTTTAATACCAGTTAATCTCTTACTGTGCCTAATTTATAAATTAAACTTAATCATGTATATGTATGTATAGGAAAAACAGTATATGTAGGGTTTGGTACTATGCATGATTTCAGGCATCCACTTGGGGGTCTTGGAACATATCCCCTGTGGGTAAGGAGGGATTACTGTACCTATTTTTGCTAAATGAAAGAAATCTTAAGAGAATTCTTGCTTTTGCCAAAAAAGAAAAAAAAATAACGTTCAGTGTTTGTTTTGCAGCAACTCCTTATAAGGCAGTGTGCACCCCAGCAACGAGAGTGGCCCCCACCAAGTTCTTTCCCCAGGAACTATACTCTGTATTTCTACATCAAACCACAATAGCTTTGAACTGTGTCTGTAAGCATCTGTACTTTATTTCCCTTGCATTTATTAGATTAGCAAGATGTGTCTTAAGGTATCAGAAAAACCTAAGAGAAGTTATTTTTTGGGTCTAAGAACACTCAAAAAATTTCCCATATAAATTAATAGTAATTGTTTTTCTACTCTCTGCCAGCTTATGAAAGGTTTCATAGGAATGCTCTACTTTCAGATAGTGGGGAAAACTTGTATATGGTACCAACAATGGCATCTGTCTCTCTAGTGGACATTTTAGGAATTAGCCCAACCCTGGGTATATTCTATTTAGATCAAAGAAACCTTTCCCAGGAACACCCTGCTACCCAAGAACACCCCACTGTCCAAGTCTATTTAGAATTACCTTTTTTCTAATCCTGAATTAAGTATTAATATGTTCTATATAGGAAGAAATATTCTCTATCATGTTCCAATCAGTAAAATTTTTAGTTTAAGTTGTGTTTTTTCATCTAATCTGGTAGATAAGTAGGAAATTATTTGCATTTATCTAGTACCTCGATCCTTACTACTGAGCTTTAGCTGTGATAAACCAAACTATTCAGAACTATTAGAAAATTAGGCCAAGAATTCTGTTACCTCTAGAGGTACATGAATTGGGCAAATCATACATGGCCCCAGTCTTCATGGAGCTCTCACTTTATTGGGGAGATAGGAAATAAAACAAGAAATCCCAACAAAATTGCCAAGTGTTTTTTACGATAGTGGGAATTCAGTGGGCTCTGCCAGCACATAGTGGGGAACTAACCTAGTTTAGTTGGGTTGGGGGAAGATTCTCAGAGGAAATGCCATGTAACATGACACCAGAAGGATTGATAGGACTTAACTAGGAGAAATAATTGAGGTGGGGGTGTTCCAGAAAGAGGAAAGAGCAGATATGAGGTCCTGGAAGCTAGAAAAAAAAATGGTGTTTTTAGGAATAGGAGCTTGCTCGTCATATCTATAATATAATCTGAAAGTGCAGAGAAGAAGAAAGGATCTTCTAGAGATGAAGCCAGTGGGGCAAGGAAAAGCCAGATTATAGAGGGTCTGATGCAACTTGTTCAGGGATTTGGGAGAGGAGTCGTGACATCAATTTGTCTGAAAAGTAGAAAATTGTTTGAAAGGGAGAGGAGGTTGTGGAGATAGTCCAGTTGAGAAATGATAGTGACCTGAGAGAGTGTTGATAGAAGTGAATATATTTTAGAAATATATAGGGCTTATAGGGGCATAAGGTGATTAATTGGACGTTGGAAATGAAAGAGAGGTGGGTATCTTTGATATATCTCACTGGAGCAACAGAGTTGATGATACCATTCCCTGGGACTGAGAAGATGATAAGATTAATTTTATAACTTAGTTTCTGGTGACTAAAGGATATTAACTTGGAGATGTCCAAAAGGCCAGAGATACACACTGATGCTGCTTAGAAAAGAAGAATGAGCAGGAGGTGGAGGTTTTGGAGTCATCAGTAGATGGGAAGTAGATGAAGAGGTAGGTATAAACAAAGTCATCTGGGAGAGACTAGAGAGAGGACAATGAAGATCTCCCTGAGGAGTATCAACATTTAAGGATGGGTACAGGACTTCCAGAATGGTTGTGTAAGGATCTTGGTAGA